CTGAAATAAATGTGTCTACTTAAATATTATTCATGATAATCAATTATCAGATAATTAAAATAATTGTGTGGTGTGGTTGTTGTTTGATTGTACAATGTGAGTATTTCTCTATTTGAATGCTTCCCCACATTAAATAATGAATCAGTCTAAAAACAGGACAGTATCCTCATGTGCCACTTTCAATATGAGCTGATTATTTAATAATCAAAATAATAGAATCTATTCATTCCAAATCATACAATCCCCGACCTTTTCATTAGAACTTCTATCATGTTACACCAAAGCCAGTTTATCTCAGAAAAGAACCAGAACAGAACCCCCGTCTTCCATTCCAAGAATGTGACCAAGTGCACTGATTCAAAAACATTTTATTTTGCCACCAATATATATATAAAAATAAATGTCACAGTATTAACATATTAATACAGGCAACAACAATAATTCCCACAGCCCTGCAAACAGAGGGTTAGAGGAACAATTCTGTAATGAAGAATGGAAGAATATTTGATCAGTGAAAAACACCAATTGTTTATACTCATAACAATCAGCAAGTCCCGAAAACAATAGGCAATAGAGTTATTTTACAGTTCACTGCTTCTTTCAGGAACTAGTTGCCAACACATAATTCGAGCCTTTCCAATAACAACTTCACCAGCACTGAAGAAACAAAACAATGGATCTTTTAAGAGCTTGATCCAGAGTACAGTCAGGAATCATATGGAAAACATTCCTGTAGTAGCACCTTCCCATTCCTACGTTCATGCCCAGGAGGCATAGAACTAGGAGAGAGATTACCTTTCTGTATTTCAAATTCCAGTTTTTTCCCTCCAAATCATTCCATTTACAGCTAGACTGTATGCTGAGAGGGATGCATGATTGCTGTTTGCATAGTTTAGAGAGGTCATAGGAAATCAAATGTTTTAGGTGCAGAATATCAGCTATGTATAGACAGACACACAAAACACACACACACACACACACTTATTTTTTCCCCTATCAATACATTTAAATACAGGTAGTCCTCAACTTACAACAGTTCATTTAGTGACCATTCAAAGTTACAATGGCTCTAAAAAGTGACTTATGACCATTTTTCACACTTACGATCATGTGCTCAAAAGTCAGACTCTTGGCAATCAACTCATAGTTATGATGGTTGCAGTGTCCTGGGGTCATGTGATCACTTTCCCCCACCTTCTAACAAGCGAAGTCAATGGGGAAGCCAGATTCACTTAACAACTATGTTACTAATTTAACAGCTGCAGTCATTCACTTAACAACTGTGGTAAGAAAGTCGTAAAATGGGGCAAAACTATTAAAAATATCTCACAGCAACAGAAAAATTGGACTCCGTTGTGGTCGTAAGTCGAGGACTACATGTATATAATTATGGAGTCTGCACAGATCCAGGCAGTGGACATCCATGTGAAGTTGCTCTGAAAATATACCAGCTGGCAGACTTTTCTGCGAGGATAGTAAACTGTCTGGATAAAATAAATATAGAAGGGAACACAGTGATACCTAGCCTTATAAATGGCTGTGGAAATGAGAGTTTTGGTTATCATTTATGACCAAGAGTATTGTAATAGCTGAAAATATAACCATAATCATGGCTTCCACTATTTTTTATTTTGCCATTTAATTGCAATAAATGAAAGGGGCGACTTATTGCACATCCTGTTTTTCACAAGTCTGGGTTCGGTTTAATTGGTAGCTGCAGGAGCCCTTCGCCTGAAAACAGCCAGAATGGGCTTCTCCAGTCTCTACCCTATAATCAATCCAGGTTGAAGGAGGGGCAGGAGCCGGGACTCCTGAGACGACTAAGCAGTGCAGAAAGCAGCTCTGCCTCCCTGCCTTGAATGTCAGACTAAAAAATAGTTTCAGAAGACGAGCTTGTTTGAATTAAGAGTTGCCAGTGGGATTATAAGAAATACCAATTTCCCATTTGCTGTTCAAGTATCTCCACACACCTCACATGCAAAGTGAAAACAGAACATAAGTCCACATGTTCTGATGATTCACAGATTAAACAGAAAAGTCAGCTGACTATTTGTGATGCAATCACAAGAAATAAGAGGAGAAACATCAAGGAATTAAATACAACAGCAGAAACATTGTAGTTACTGTACAGAAACTTTTATTAATTTTTCTTTCATATTGTTTTCTGGAAATGCAAAAATGATCCACAGCAATGTTAAAGTATCTGAGGAAACACTGTTTATCCCGTTACCCCTATGTACTCCCCAAAATATTTTAAGGCACTTCTCTCAAACATCTTGAAGAGATGAAAATTATAACCAGGTTATTGAATAAGGTTCTATGGCAATTTCCCGATTTTCATGTGCACATCCAAGTCACACACGCTTACATACAGGTAATCACATGTCTAATCTGTGCTATATGGTGAACAACATAATAGTTGCTTGCTGGAATGTATATTTATAGGCTACAAAACTTATTTGCTGTATCCATATTGGAAATTGAGCCTGATTTTTAAAAGGCATCCACGCGTCCAGTGAAAATATGGTAAATGGTAAATGAAAAGTAGGATCACAACTTGTACTTTGTAAACTGAGCCTACTACATTATTTCAATAAATGGGTTCTTTGAGGTTTTATACTACATTTTTTTCACAGTAGAGAACAGAATGTGGGCAAAAGTTGACTGATCTCAAAAAAGCAGAAATGTGTGGTAGTTGATTAGCATTTGAATAGGACACCATAAGGAAATCCTTACAAAACTACAGTTGAAATTCAACAGTTGAAATAACATCCCAGGAAGAAAGCAGTGGCAAATCACTTCCATATTGTTGCCATGGAAACGTGGCCCTCATAAAGAACTGAATGACTGGAGAGGAGTTTACACTGCATCTCAAATTTATTTGACCAAAGTCTAATGTAACATATTAACCCTGACAAGCTGTAAATACCATCTGTATTCAGTTAGAAGTTCTCAGAATGTTACAGGATTTCAGCCTTCATTTTGATCTGTAATTTTTCATGCTTGTGTTTTGACTAAGAATGGTTAATCTAAAATGTCTACAAAAGCTTCTCATTTCTATAATTTCCAAAAGAGGTTGGCAGGGAAATTGTGTTCACTTACAGGGTACATGAAATTATAAAGGCCATTAGGAGCTGTTGTGAATGTAATAAAGAATGTAGAAGAAAATCCTAACCTTAAAATTCACATTTAACTTACATCACAAATTCAGTTTTCTCAGCAACAGAGACTCAGATGGATATGAGCCCCAAATACATGTCTACAGATAAAGCTAATGCTAATGCAGACATTTAAACATTTTGCCTCCTGCTTCTATAGCGGGAGAAACCAAGGAAAATTTTAGAAACATATCAGGCTGAGAAAAATATTGAATACAATTTTAATTTTTTCCAAATGCTACAAGAAGAGGGAACTTGATAGAATTGAAGAGCTTGGTTACCTAGATCAGTATTTCTCAACTTCAACACCTTTAATGCACGGAGTTCAATTTTTAGAAGTTCTGGGAGGGGAATTTTAGGAGTTGAAGTCTACATATCTTAAAATTGCTGAGGTTGAGAAATAGTGGCCTTGAGTAAGTGATATCGAAATTGCTTCTTTGTTGTCAGTCTGCCTAAGATTAGAAAAAAATCTTGCCTCAAAAAGGCATGACACATTTCTTGCCTTAAAAGGATGGCACAGTATAGTAAGGGGAAATTAAGCATTAAGGACATGAACATTAAAAAAAATTAAAGTTGGGAGTAAAAGATAACAAATTACATTCACATACACTGGAAAAAGCAAGCAAGAGTAGTGAAGTAAGAAGAGAGAATTTTTGCCTGCCATTCTCTCTTTGTTCTGTCATGTTATGATAAAGCCCAGATTGCGTGACAGCAAACTAAAGATGTTGGACAAGGACGGTGGGAGTTGTATCCTAATGTTTCTGGGGATAACCAGATTGGAGAAGCTCAAGTTGGAAAACCTAATATCTGTTTAAACAGCCTTTCCTCTGGAATTGCACCCTCCTACCTCAATTAATCTCACTCTGGGAAAAGCTTAATATTTCTATTAGAGATTTTTTTAGAAGAGATTTCATATCAAAAGAACAAAGGGATCCCTTGTTCCAATAATGGTGGGGTTGTTTATTTTGACTATTTGCTTTTCTCCATAAGATAAAAGGAACAAAAGGGGAAGCAATTGGCACGAAGAAGCCAATTGCTTATCCCATCCAACTTTCTCCATGATCTAAAATTTAAGAATGTCATATACTAAGAGCTATACCCAAGAACTTTCATCTGCTACACAGCTGGGTGCCAATGTACTTGAGAAGTTAGGAAACACATAGCTTCCAAAGATATAATGGGAAGAATATCTTTGTTCTATTTCAGGGTTGCCTCAGACATGAGTAAACTGGAGGACAATGTGCACATTCTCTGCTATTGTAAGCAGCAAAAACCGCCTTGGCCAATTTGGTGTCCTTGAGTTGTCCTGGATTACAATGCCTCATACACATTTGAGGCAGACCAGTTTATGAAAGTCTGATTGAACAACAGTTGCAGTTGGACAACTGGAGTTGAAAATCTATTGATGGCCAGTAGGATAAAAAGTAGGCCTTCCTTTCCCTGACTGTTGAGGGATGTGAATATTGCAATCTTCCAAGATACTTTCTTAAAACAGATTATTTTGCTTCCATAAAAAAGGGGGAAGAGCGCATACAGGAGAAACCTAAACTTGAAAGTTATATCCCTCCTTGAAAATATGTGAGTTCTGAGCAGGTCCCTAATCATTAGTTAGGATCTACTTGATAATGAAAAAACCGGAAGCTTTTGGGAGGCTACTCCTTTTATAGAAGAAAGTAACTGGAAACAATCTCATAAAAACACATATTTTTGAAAGTAAAAAAATGGGATGTTGAGTTCTGGGACACAAATTCTACTTTGATCCTCAAGCCATGCTTCATTGTCTTCATCAACAGTTCATAATGGAGTGGGAGAAATGACAACATCCCAACAAGCCATAATTTATGATTCTTTGGATTTGGAGATGAATATATTTGCAAGGCAAACCGAACATTCTTGTGCAGGCTGATTCTATAAATCAAATCTAGCTAAAACATGATGTTACTGCCACTTATGCTAATTTAATGGTACTAACATGCTATTTTATGATGTAGTTACCGCAGTCCTAGTCCCCTGTAATATTTTTAACAATAAAATCCAGCAGTAGACTTCAAGTTTTACACAAAACACTGAGAAAATATACCTTTGTTTGACATTTTGCAACATTTAGGCTTTTACAATAGTAAACATTCCTGACAAATCATTTTAAAAACCAAAAGGCACTTTATAAACCCAGAATTGCAAAGTATTTGCCATGCTTCAGTAAGAAAAAGACTGCATTAGAGCAGAAGAAAACTAAATAAAACTTTCCATTCACATGTAAGGCAATCCGGCAATATACTGGTCCTTAGGTAGATTTGTTTTGCAGTATCAAGAATGGGCTTTACTGAGGAATTCCATTGAAACTATTTTTTTATTTTAGAGATTATGCTACTGGTTACTTGCACACCTCTCTGCTACAATTTTGCCAGGTAGAGCTAAAAGAAAGTTAATGAAGTCCTCCCCATTTCCATAAAAATAAACTAGTCAGTGTACTCTAAATCTTCAGGTTATCATTTACACCTGCCTGGCCGTATTCTTTGCAAGCAGCATGTTGTTTTACAACCAGAAGTTGTGGTTATTTTTTGCCCACAAAAGGTTTTACTTCACTACAGGGTCTAGTCCCTGGGGCCACTTTCATTTCTGCCCTCCTACCACAATCTTTACATCCCAATATCACACAAACATACCAACTCGGGCAATCAATGGTCCCAACAGGCCATTTTCCTTTCTCTCAACTTTGTTGGAACGCTGAGCCCCATCTGTATGTTTTAACTAAGGAAGAACGTTGCTTTATTTATCTGGAAAACCGAATGGCTCCCTCCACCAGCTGTATTTACAGAAAATTTGGAAGCATAACTTCCTATTGGACAAGGAAATCCCAGCAGTTCTGGTCAGTTGGCGAGTAATGCTGTCTCACTCTTGCCAAATGTCCGTGTTTCCCTGCTCTTGTTCTTAAGACAAGGACAATTTTGCAGAATTAGCTTGGGAGAGACTCCATCAGTGTTCCACAGGAACAGAGATGTTTCTCACATGAATAAATACGATGTTCAGTTTAATTCCAAAACAGATGTTATGCAGGCCATCTGTTTGAGCATTACATACAGGCTTTGTCCTTTTAAAATACTTCTGAAAGTGGCTCATTTCCAAATAGTAACAGCACATAATCAAGCTAAGGTTTATGTATTGCTGGTCTATCAATATTCTGCCTCAGTGGACCAACCCATGAACTGTGCTTTCTGCCTATCAGCATCCCTTGTGCCTTTGAAGTTGTTATTCGCAGGTCACGCTACAATGCATTTGCCCTGAGTGTCAGACTTGGATGCACACTTTCTCCTTTCTATAGGAGAAAGGAGGGAAGGAACACTGCGTGATCTGGGTTATAGTGCATATTTTAACCTGACTTCTCCACAATCACCCAATTTGATCCAGCAAAAATTAGGAAACTTCTCTTAGCAACCTAACATGAATGGTTTTTGCATGAAAATAGTTGCGATCAAACCGTTTCACTCACATTTTCACCCCATAGTGCAGTGAGCCCAGTGTGTTAATTGGGCTGATGGTCCTGTTATATAAAGCAAGCACCGTGGTTTCAAGATTTTGGCTTGCAGATACACTTTGGGGCAAAGAGGCCTGCATTATTTAAATCTCCATGCCAGCAGAACAGAATGCAAAGCTGTTTGTTTTGAAGTTTCTAGCTCCTTTTCTTGGAAGATTATAGACAAGAAGGAACAATTTTGACAATATTCTGGGAAAATAAATCAAAGTATGTAAATTCAAACCACTTTAGCAGCATTTTCCAATCCTTCCATCTGTAACCACAGCAGTGAATTTTCATACAGTGATCTAATTTTTAAATTAAATTGGGAAAAGAACAGGAAGAAAAGGAAATGACTTACCACTGCAGAACACCTCACAATTTGGAAACAATAATGTTCCCAAATTGTGACCCCCATTATTTAAAGTGGAGAGAATGCCCATTAAATATATAGGCCTGTATCCACTAGGAATCCTTCTTAGGTTAGCTTCCTGACATAAAAGAGAGCTTTTTGGAAAGAAAAAAAAAGGATGCTTCAATACAACTTTCATTCTTTTTTGTGACACTTGCATGGGAGACCTTCCAAGGGGATTGAGCACCTAAATCTCCAACCATTCCCTGAAAATTCATATATTTACAATTTCTATTTATGGTTTATAAAGTTTTTTAAAAATGAAAAAAAAATATACAGCAAAATTTGAGGTTAAAATTCTCATTTGTCCTGCCAATTGCAAGATCTCAGGATGACAAAACAGGTGTCCTTCTTCCAAGTTGATTGCATAAAATCATTTATAAAATGCTGAAAAGTTGAATTGTCACTGGCCGGGTATTCCAAGTCTTCTATTGCATTTTGGCCACACTAGCTTTTTGGTGATCCAATATCCACTGTGATTTTTGTATATAGTTGAAATTTATCAGTTTTTTTTACGGTGTAAGTCAGAGAGTTTAGGCCATCAGATTTCATTGTTTCCTTTGTATGAGCAATTTTGTTAAACCTGTAAAGATAAAGTAGACTTACAGTTGGTAAATAACAATTTGTGATTAGTATCGCCACTGGCCTTCTGCTAATGTTGGTTAATTGATTTGCATAAAACTGTATTTTGTATTTCACTTCCCTCTTACATATATATTTTTGCTAACTGTTTCTCAGAAGAATAATATAAAAAGTTCTGTACTCAAAGGTTAAAAAATGTGGCAAAGTGGCAAAAAGACTGTGCTCATAGAACAGAATTACTGGTTTATAGCATACATTTGATGGTGGCGCAGTGGTTAAGTTCTGTCTACAGCCTGGAGTTCGATCCTGATGGGCTCAAGGTTGATTCAGTCTCCCATCCTTCAGAGATCAGTAAAATGAGGATTCAGTTTGTAAACTGCCCAGAGAGTGCTCTAAAGTACTATGGAGAGGTATATAAGTCTAAGTGCTATGCTATATTTTTATTTAATAATTTGTATCCTGCCTTTATTATTTTTGCAAATAACTCAAGAGTGGAAATGTATCCAATATATTTTCCTCCTATTTTCTCCACAACAACAACCCTATGAGGTATTTATTTTTATTTGTCAATTGCTTACAAGATAATAGCTATAAGTAAAAACATAGTTATGAATACATGGATACATATAAGAAAAATAAAAAAATAAATATAAAAGAAACAATAGGACAGGGACGGTAGGCCTGTTGGTGCGCTTATGCATGCCCCCTACAGACCTCTTAGGAAAGGGGTGAGATCAATAGTAGACAGTCTAAGGTTAAAGTTTTTGGGGTTTGGGGAAGAAACCACAGAGTCAGGTAGGGTATTCCAGACATTGACCACTCTATTGCTGAAGTCATATTTCCTGCAATCAAGTTTGATGCAATTAACCTTGAGTTTGCATCTATTGTTTGCTCTAGTGTTGTTATGGTTGAAGCTGAAGTATTCATTGACAGGTAGGACATTGCAATGTATGATTTTATATACTACACTTAGATCGGACCAAAGGCAGCGTAGTTCTAGATTTTCTAGGTCAAGAATTTCAAGTCTGGTGGCATAAGGTATTCTGCAACGAGTAGAGGAGTGGAGAACTCTTCTTGTGAAATATTTCTGGACTTTCTCAACTGTGTTAATATCAGATACGTAACGTGGGTTCCAGACTGATGAGCTGTATTCGAGTGTTGGTTTGGCAAATGTTTTGTATGCTCTAGTTATTAGTGTAATATTACCAGAGAAAAGGCTACTTAAGATAAGGTTAACAACTCTTAATGCCTTTTTGGTTATGTAGTTACAGTGGGCTCTAGCACTTAGGTCATTTGAGATGAGTACTCCAAGATCTTTGACAGAGTTTGGATCATCAACAAGGTCTTGACTATTCAGCCTGTATTTAATTTTCTGATTTTTTTGCCAATATGTAGGACAGAGCATTTATTTGTTGAGATTTGAAGTTGCCATTTGTTTGACCACTCTGATACATAGTCAAGGTCTTTTTGAAGGGTAGCAGTATTATCTGTAGTGTTGAATAGCTTTACACCATCACCAAAGAGAACGCAGCTACTCTTGTTATGATCATAGAGGTCATTTATGTAGAGTATGAAAAGAGTTGGTCCTAAAACACTGCCTTGGGGGACACCACCGTTGACAGGTACAGAATTTGATAGGATGCTCCCAATTTTGACCATTTGTTGTCTGTTTGACAGGAATGCTTCTATCCAGTTATGCAGGTGTCCAGAGATACCATAAGATTTTAGTTTTAGGAGTAGTTTGTCATGTACCACTGAATCAAAGGCTTTACAGAAGTCTATGTAGATTGCGTCTATTGCTTTGCCCTGGTCGAGTTGTGTAGTTCATATGTTTTTGCAGTGTAAGAGTTGAAGATTACAGGATAGTTTTTTTCTGAAACCAAATTGTTTATTAGAGAGTAGGTTGTTTGTCTCTAAGTGGAGGATAATGGATTGATTAATAATTGATTCCATGACTTTACAGGTGACGCAGCATAAGGAGATTGGTCTGTAATTTTCAACTAGGCTGGGGTCTCCCTTTTTGAAGATGGGGATGACCGTGGCTTGTGACCATAGTTTTGGCAAGGAGCTGGTCCTGGAAGATTTTTCAAAGATTATGCTTAGAGGTTCGGATATGGCACTGGGTAGCTTTTTTAAGAATTAGGCACATATTCCGTCCGGTCCGATAGAGATGGTTTTAGATTGCACAGTGCTTTTTCAACAATGTCTTCTATAAAATCGATATGTATTAGATCATTGTAGTTGTCTGTGGTTCGACTAGGAAATACTGGGCATGATCCATTGCTGTTTACAAATACTGAGCCAAAGAATGTGTTAAAGAGGTTGGCTTTAATAGTGTCGTCGTTGCAGTCTTCACCATTAGGTCCTTTCAGGGGTGGGATGGACCTTGAGTCTTTTAGTTTGTTGTTTACAAAATTGTAGAAAGTGTGGGTGGAATTGGTGTGTAGAAGGTTTTCTTGTTTAATGTGATAATTAGTGCATTCAGTTTTTATCTGATGGCATAAATTTTTGTATCGGCTTTTGAAGTTGGCAATGTGACCAGATTTATTTTTCTGCCAAAGTGATTTCTTTTTGGATTGAAGCTTCCTTATTGTTTTGGGTAATTTGTTTTTTCTGGTTTTGGGAGTTGTTAATGGTACATATAGTTTGATGGCTCTTTTGACTTCAAGTAAAAATATGTTGTAATGGTCTTCTACAGTATTGCATCCAGAGAATAGAAATTGCCAATCAAGGGATGAGAGATTGTTGTTTATAAGATCATACTTGCCTTTTTTGAAGTTATAATTGGGGATTTCGTCATTGTGATGATTTTTGTGTGGGCGTATGTTGAGACAAAAGTCAATCATGTTGTGGTCACTGTTGCAAAAGGGTTCTTTAATTTGTATTCTGTAAATTGAATTCAAACTATTGCAGAAGATGAGATCGAGGCAGTCTAGTGTTGTTGGTTACTAGTTGTTCTAGTCCCAGATTTGTTACTGCATTGTAGAAGGTTGCATGTATGGGTTCAGTTGTACATTCGTTTAGGGTCCAGTTAATATGAGGTAGATTAAAGTCACCAAGAAAGATAAAAATGTGTGGGCAGGATGCTTCCCATGTTAGTAGTGTATTTAGCTTGTTTGCATGTTCGATGTCATAATCAGGGGCTCTGTAACATAGTAAGAACTGAAATGTAATATTTAAGGACAGTCCACAGACGATGGTCTCAGGAATAGCAAGCTCCTGGGTAACTTGGATGTTTTTTAGATGTAGGGACTTTTTATAGAAGATAGCAACACCACCTCCTTTACAGATTTCATGATCTGATCAGTAAACATGATAGTCTCTTACTGTGGTAATGGAGTCAGGGAGAGATGCGTTGAGTCATGTTTCACAGACAAATATAATGTTGAATTTAGCCATATTTAGTAAGAGGCGAAATTCAGGTATTTTATTTACAAGGCTTCTTGCATTGAGTAGCTTGCATTTAAGGCCAGTTGTGGTTGGAATAGAGGTAGTTAGGGGCGTGCATGCCTAGTTTTGAGTGATGTTGGATTGGATGGGGTGGGGTTGGATGCGGAGTTGTGGGTTGTGTGACTTTCTTTTGATGTTGGGCTGAAAGAGAGCGACTGGCCTAAAGTCACCCAGCTAGTTTTCATGGCTAATGCAGGACTTAAACTCAAAGTCTCCTAGTTTCTAGCCTGCTGCCTTAACCACTAGACCAGGGGTCTGCAACCTTAAACACTGAAAGAGCCATTTGGGCCTGTTTATCACAGAAAAGAAAACACCAAGAGCCAATAATTTAACAACCGGTGTGACTGGGTGGGCGTGGTCAATTCGATGTCATTCACGCCCACCCAGTCACCTCCTGCTCTGGAATATGGAGCAAGTCTCCATCCCACTTCTCAGGCCAGGCAAGGAGTGACGGGGAGGGGCGGGGCCAGCCAGTGGTGGGATCAGCCAACAGGGAGCTGCAGCAGAAGGCCGAAAGAGCTGCATGTGGCTCCAGAGCCGCAGGTTGCAGACCCCTGCACTAGACCAAACTGACTTTTTTGTTATATGTAGTAGTCCAATTATGGAAACATGGTTTTGCTTTTGATCCACTTCTGATTATGAAAAATTAGAATTCCGTTGAAACTGACTATGCTGCTGATTATGTGATTATGCTGTTGGACTTGTGCTCAGCAGACTGAGGTTCTAGTCTACTCTTAACCACAGATCTTTTTCTAACGGCTTTGAACCAGTCCAGACTACTTCAAAGAGTTGTTGGAGATAATGGGAGGAAAGTTTACTATGTACGTTGCTTTGAATTCCTAAATAAAAGGCAGGATATAAATATAACAAAGAAAATGTTGCTAAGTTTTGTTTTCCAGTTGTGAATACATGACAGAGGCTGTTCAAAACACACCAGAAGGCTTGTATTCCTTGTCTTCTAAAATGGCTTTACTGAACATCATCCCAGGGTTTTTTTATAGTCCTAAAAGACACTCCTAGTATTTTAAAGAATTCCTATATATGTATATAAATAAAGATAAGACTATTTCATAATCAAATATTTATTTCCAGAGCACAGAAGAAAGTAAATAAAGGCTACTTGGATCTATGTGGGCAGAAGCAGCATGAAGGACCTACCTCTGTGGATTGGGCTCATTTTTAGTATCTCTCATGTGGCGAATCATTCGACATTTTCCAATTGTAGCATCTGGGCGGGAAATCCCCATGCCTTTAAAAACCAATCTGAAAAGGCAAATAAAAGATCAGGTTTCTGTTATGTGAACATCCTTCTCTTTTCTTCTTTTAAGGAGGCATAGTTTAGCAAACTCCTTATCTCATTTTGTTGCTATTATTTATAACAGCATATTCCAGAAATTATGTGGAACTAAAGGGAGAGCTTCAGGCACTAGAGTTGGTCTACTCCTTGGTGAGTGCAGTGGTTAGAATACAGTACTGCAGGCTACTTCTGCTGACTGCTGACTGCTGGCTGACTGCAGTTCGGCAGTTCGATTCTCTTTGGCTCAAGGTTCACTCACCCTTCCATCCTTCCAAAATTGTCCAAAAGAGGACCCAGATTGTTGGGGACAAATATGCTGACTCTGTAAACCACCAAGAGAGGGCTATAAAGCACTGTGAAGTAATATATAAGTCTAAGTGTTATTGCTATTGCTGTTCCACAGCAGAACACTGCGCCCCTGAGCGGTTTAACAGCTGCCATACTAATAAATTAGATGCCAGATTCAACCATACCATGAGGATTATTAAAACCACTCTGATTTGCTGGCTTCTTGTTCTGAGTCATATGAAGGCAAGGTGCAGTAGTGAGAGAATACAGAAAAATTATGAACAATTCAACTTTGCCAGTGCATGTTGACCTTCCTCATCTATCAAGCTGGAAGATTCAAAATCCAGGAAGCCCCCAATGGCCCTTGCACAACATCTGCCCAACAACTTTAATATCGATTCCCAATGGAAAGCGAAATGGGTCACTGAATGCCCAGACATAGGAAGACATATAAATGACCCCATGAAAAAGTCTTTGAACTATCATGTCAGCAATGGACAATGCTGACTAGGATTTGGACTTCACTTGGCAGGTGCTGGGATTCTCTGTATAAATGGAGAATAGTATGCTCCCCACAGTCACGTCAAAGTGTAGATCACATTGTAAACCCGTGATGGCGAACCTATGCCACGCGTTCCGGAAGTGGCACACAGAGCCATTTCCCCCGGCAAGCTAGAGCTCGTCTTGAAGAGCCCCACTGCACATGTGTGCACGCTGCCGCCCAACAGCTGATTGTCGGGTATCTGGCGTGCATGCGTGGGGGGTGGGGGGGGCGGAAGACACGCGTGCATGCGCAGAGATGTGCAGTGTGTGCTGAAGTCGTGGGCGCATGCGCAGAGACGTGTGGCACGTGGAGGTATCGTGGGTGCATACGCAAATGGATGGCATGTGGGAGTGACCGTGTGCACATGCACAGATGCGTGGTGCGTGACAAGGGGAACCATGTGTGCATACGCAGACGCGCGGCACGGTGACGGGATTGTGTGCACAGGCACAGAGGGTGGGGGGGCCAGCACGCATTGCCTTCTGGGTGCTGGCACGCAAGCGCACAAGCGTGCGTGCAATTATCAGCATGGGAACCGAAAAAGGTTTGCCACCATGGTTGTAAACTGAGGGTGTAGACCAGGGCATAGACCAGACCAGTATCTGATTTTGTTTTAATATAAGAAATGCTGCGCTTCAATGGTTAAGTGGCCTAGGTATTTGTATTTGAACATAGATCTTTTTAACATTTATATTTTACTGTGTTTTAATAATCTAGGTGAAATGTTAATATATTATGCTAGTCCCTGTACGAAGTGGCATATGCTAAATAAATAAATAAACCTTATCTCAGAAATGCATGTGACATCCCTTTAACCAAAGTTAGTCATTAATTCAACCCATGCTTTGTATTTCATTCTACAGAAAAATTATGACCACAAAAGATACATCAATATCAAGGAACTTCTCCCCTATTAATTAATATGATTTAAGGCTGCAGTAATTAACTGAAGATCTCAAATCAAACAGTTCTATTTTAATCAGGGGTGGGATTCTACAGGTTCACACCTATTCGATAGAACCGGTTGTTAACATTCTAAGCAGTTTGGAGAATCTGTTGTTAGAAGAAATTACTGGCCTAATCCTGTAAGGAAGGCAGGAAGGAAACATTCTGGTGTTGCTTACAGAAACTGCCTCTCCGTTAACCCTTATTACATTCTTGGCAGGACTAGACTTCCTGTCTCTGGAACTTCTTTGGAGTTTTTTCCCCTCCTTTGCTGGTCGTTTGTTTGTGTTGAATGACCAAAGTTACAATGGCACTGAAAAAAGTGACTCATGACCATTTTTCACACTTACGACTGTTGCAGCATGCCCACAGTCATGAGAGGTCAGGTGAGAAGATGCATGCCTCGATGTGAGTGATGTTGAGTTGGCCACGCCCAGCCAGTAACATGACCACCAAGCCACACCCACCAACTAAGCCACGCCCACAGAACCGGTTGTTAAAACATTTGAATCCCACCGCTGATTTTAATCCATGTTTTTGTTCAAGGGCAAGGTGCCATACCTAAGGATATATAAATGATCTGCTTAGATCATGAGTCCCCAAACTTGGCAAGTTTAAGATTTGTGGACTTCAACTCCCAGAATTTTGGGAGTTGAAGTCCACAAGTCTTAAAGTTGCCAGGTTTGGAGCCCTCTGACTTAGATGATCAAAAGAGGATGAATAAGTGGCAGATCTTGTGCTTCTCCTTTGAAGTTCTAAACGCCTACCTTTAAGATGCCCTGCCTGCCAGAGGAGGGTTGCACCTCAACTCCCAACCTCTGCAAGCCTGACCTCCTTGCTATCTAGCTACTGTAGGAAAGGTGCAAACAATAATGCTTACATAAATAAACATATGTGCCCCTTGACAAAATAGAAATAAAATAATGTTAAACAACGGTAGTGTCAGCTTAGCAGCAAAGAACATGAGGGTTGAAAAACAAGTTTCAGAGCAAATGTGTAAATAAGAAACAGGAAATGCTTGGTGACCTTTTAACTCTAAACGTTATTGTTTTATACGGGATAATATAGTTTTCTACTTGTAAAGTGAAAAGTAAAATTTGCTAAGTACGTTTCTGAGCTTCCTGAAAGCACATTTTCCTCTCAGTTGTGAACAGAATTTATTTAGAATTAGAGAGCAGGACTCCTAGCAAGAGCCCAGAAATGAATTCTTGTAAGAAACCAGAATCTGGTATTTCTCATTCTCTTGACGGTATTCTAGAATAAAAATCCTGCTGACCGCTAAATGCTAAGCATATTTTCCTCTTTTTTTTTTTTTTTTGCCAAACTTAACACCTCTTTGACATAAAACACTTCCTGCTCCTCCCAAACACAATGTGCACCTATTAGCATGTGCCAAGGAAACGAGTATTCAAAGGGACTGAGAAGAAACACTATTCGCTTTGTTGTTAATGTCTTGACCCAACAGCAGGCAGACAGCCTCTCACTTGGTATAAATCAAGAGAGCAGCGCTAGAAGGCCAGGAAAGCAGTGACCCTTGAAAAGCATGGAGCATGGAGCAATATCCCTGGATCCCTCTGGAAGCAGGCCACTCCATTTGCTGTGTGGCTGACATATATAAACGTTTGTTCTCTAAAATTAATACCATTAGAAAGGAGAATGCAAGTATTCATGGTCTGTAAATATTTGACAGTCTATCTAGTCAAAAGGTGTACGGAATTATGCAAGAGGTGATAAAGTAATCAAGAGAAGGCCTTGCTATTAAGGCCACCTGCAGGATGGTCCCCTGAAGCTGAATGATGGAAGATTTAAGGCAGATGAAAAGAAAACCTTACATGCTGTGCACAGTTGAACGAAGGAATTTGCTATTTAAAGTGCTACCAACCTAGAAGGTTTGAAAAGTAAATTAATCCATTAATTGCTTTTAATCATGATGTTGCTTATTGCCACCAAGGGAGGAGAAAAATTGTCTCCAAATATCAGCTGCTGCAAAATATGAGCAGAAGGCCCATAATGTCCTTGTGCTAATGGGCCTCTCAAAATGCCAATAGGCCTTTGGTTTGCTTTAGCAGGACTCTTGTGAAATGTTTTATTTCCTTCTAGCACAGTGGTTCCCAAACTTTTTCGGTCCACTGCCCCCTTGGTGCTACAAACTCATCCTCGGTGCCCCCCACCCAGGGGTGGGATTCAAATTTCTGTGGGTGTGGCCTAATTTGAGGGTGTGGTTTGCTGGTCACATGATTGGGTGGGCGTGGCTTGCTGGTCATGTGACTGGGTGGGCGTGGCCAGGTAACTGGCAAACCAAATACAAGTGGTCCTCACTTAATGACCAGTTGTTTAGCAACTGTTCTAATTTATGACTAGCCTCCCCAGAGCTACTTGACCAGTTTTTGGAGTTTTGACAGCTTTAGATCAGGGGTCTAAATCCCACCCCTGCCTGTGTGTGTGAGAGACAGGGAGAGAGAGAGGTTGGATCAGATCTCTCTCTCTCTCTCTCCCACCAATGCCAGAAAGCCACTGTCAGTCAAAATTCATATTAGTGGTCTCCGGGATTTAAAATTATGAGTTTGGTGGTCCCTGAGGTCCAAAAGTTTGGTGACCCCTGAAACAAAGGGATGAGCCTGAGAGAGGGAAAGAGAGAAAGAAAAGAAAGAGAAAAAGAGAGAGAGAAAATAGAAAAGGGAAAGAAAGAAAAAGGGACAAAGAAAAAGGGGGGATGGAAGGAAGGGACAGAAAGAAAAAGAAATAAAGGAGGGAGGGAGGAGAAAGATAATGAGATATCTATTCTAGTCCAATCACCTGCTCCAGCAGGGTTAGAAGGGAGTGTGTGTGTGTGTGTGTGTGTGTGTATGTGTTCTCCTTGTAATTTACCAGTACATTTTGGTTTTGCCTTCTTCAGAATTGGCACTGTAATACATTGGGGAAAAGTAATTTTTAGGGTGGAGATCTGATCCAATGGATCCTGTTTAAAGCCTCAACAAAATGTGAGAGCTTCCTGATAGTCTTGACCATGTTTCGTCCACAAAACCTTTAATAGAAGCCAAAGAGGTTTCAATGTGGAAAAGGGCCTCAGTCTAAACTAGGCCTCATTCAATCTGATGCATCAGCTCTCTCTCTCTCTCTCTCTCCCTCCCTCCCTCCCTTTCAGACTGGCTTTGCTCTACTTTCCCGATGTGCCTGCGGGGCCGGTGCTTCGAACATGGATGGATGGATGGATGGATGGATGGATGGATGGACCGACAGACAGAATGCGACAGCGGCGGCACTTTGGGAATGCGGTGGCAGCGGCTTTTCCCAATGTGCTGCCGCATTCGAGGCACCGGTTCTGGAGCATTACTACAGTCAATGGGTGAACCTGCAGAACCGGCAGCTCGAATGCCTCCCTGCCGCCTCTTAGCGTCTCCAAGGGGGCCGGCAGAGGGGGGCTAAGAGGCGGCAGGGGGGCATTCGAGCTGCTGGTTCTGCAGTTTCACCCATTGACTAGCACTGCTCCGGAGCCGGCACCTCCAATGTGGAAGTGGTGGCACGTTACATGCCGCCATGGCCACGTTCGACGCGCCAGCCCCCTGCCGCCTCTTAACGCCTCCCTGCCAGCCCCCTTGCCTCTTAGTGCCCCCCTAAGGCATCCCACTGCCCCCCAGGGGGCGATACCGCCCACTTTGGAAACCACTGTTCTAGCATATACATAGAGCTAGCCACTTTCCAGCATGCTATGAAAAATATTGTCTCTAAGCGACAAAATACACAGATGCTCCACAAAGTCATAAGCTGCTTTCTTATGAACAACTTATCCACAAATTAGGATGGAAAGGGGAGTGAGACATTTCTGTGGGCTAGTTACAACTTGTCTGCACTTGCTTCATTATACCCTAAACAAAAGAAGCCAGAGCTATACATTAGTTATAGGCAATGAGCTGATTCGTTATATCATTAGTATTAAACCTCATTGCAATAACATGGCAGGAGCCAACAAGAGAAACCAGATCTTAAACCAAAGTAATGGCAGCACATACATCAACTTTCATTAAAGCAATAAAAATAAAACTTTCCCCAGTGAATACTTATATCTTTATCTAAAAACAAAAAACCTCCACTAGAGTTTCATCTAAAGCCAATGTGCCAAGGTGTTTCTTAAAATGTTCCAATCTGAGTTAAAGAAGGCATTTGGATTTGTTCCAGAGCGAACAAGTAGCAAGTTCACAAATGCATCTGGTTTAGAAAAGCAGAACTTCCATTTAATTTAGCACAGATTCTAGATTCAGAATGTCCATTTTAAAATAGACCTGTGATCAGCAAAATACTGGACTTTCACAAAGTTTAAGCCCTTTCCATTTGGATCTCTAGTTCAATGCCCCCTTTCTAGGCATCATGATTGTACATCACAGCAAGTCACATAAAAACAGTAACTCTTGAGACTCATGCATGTCACGTAGAAACTGGAAAGCTTTTGAAACCTGCACAGAAAATGCAGGAAAGATACAGGACATCCGTGTGTCAATCAATTAGACTGCAGGATGGGTAGACATTCAATATCTTTATGTTTAGAGTATCTTTCTGAATTCCTTATAGTTGGAATATTCACTTGAGATTTCAATCTGAAAAATTCACAGGATGTTTACAAAGGACTCGTTATTTTGGTGAGGGGGTTCTTATTGATTTTATTGCATAACAATCTTGGCTTTATATTGTATTGTGTAATCCAACTAAAAATCACAACACAGGTGAGGTGCCAGGGGCAGAGAAAAGAACTTGGTTGGAGTTATTTTAAAATCTTCTACTAAGAATAAGCAAAGTGCTGAAAAAATATTACTGAGTCATTAAATAGGAGAGCATCCTAATGAAAATAAAATTTTTAAAAACATTATGATATCTTGATTGCAGTATATGGACTTAGACCAGCAGTTATAAGTACTAACATAAACAATCATTTTATTTGAAGCAAAAGATAGATTCGTTTAAGAAATGGGTGAGGGTAGAGGATTCTCAGTTGTACCACACCTGCATCTTGATGAAAAGAGAACACAAGGCAGGGAGATCATTTTAAAAGATAAATACTCATTTCACTAACAGGTAAGAAACTGACACAGGGACAGGTATGAAAACCTGTTGCCATTTACTGTAGTCTCAACAAGGCTCCTAGATGATACATACACTATCAGGGTGAGAGAAATAGATGCACTTAATAGGAGAGAGGTGGGCTAGTATTTGAAAAATAAATGTATCTTCAACAATCCCCTTCTAGATTGGTACTCAGAAATGATAATGGACAATGATAGGGGAAGCACCACAGCAAAAAAGCACGGCTTAATTAAATCAAGCTTTATTGTACATGGATTATATAGGCATTCTCAACTTCAGTTTCTAAACAAATTAGTAGCCTCCAGAGATGATAATCTGAACTAAATTGATAGTGGCTCTTTTGTCCACATTTGGGCTGTGGATGATTGTTTCTCTAAGTCAAAGATGGCTTGAAGGCCCTGAAATTCCTTAGGCCACCATAGCCATGTTTGTCAAGATAAACTCTTCACATGCAAATATTTCTTAAAGACCAATTCTGGATTTGCATTCTTGTACCCATAAGGCTACATACCAGAGCAACATAGGAAGAAACTGTAAATCAACAAATGGCACAGAGAGAAATTACTGTACCAGTAAGGCACAACGCTCAAAACTAAACAACCAGTCCCAAACTCAGCCCCAGCCCAAAATTCAACATTAACTAAAAAGATGAGGCATCTTACCTGTTATAAATGTCATCATCTTCACCACCCCAGCCCCAATAATTATTGGGAAACCCATTTATTTTTTGGAATTGCTCCTTACTTAAAGCAGACACACCTCCAAAATACTGATTGTAAGGTAAGCTGGAAGAGACAAAGATAAATTGTTCATTTAAAATCACATGATCACAGAGAAGCTTGGATTATATCTCTAGTCACAATTCTAGATAGAAGTGATTAGAAAAATTAATGTTGCATCAGACTCCTGTAAAGTTGTCTGTGCCAATATATATGTCTGTGTTTTCTGAAATCTGAGTTCAGAATTCATTAAAACCATTTTTCAAGTTGGAAGGAGCCATAACTCCTTTTTTAAAAGACTGGAAACCTTTTATGGACATTTTGATGAAAATGGAAAAAAATGAGCTCTATGGTTCATTTTTATAGGTTTATATAGGAAGAATAATTATGTAATTCGAGAGGATGGAAACAGTATTAGCTATGTTTGTAACCGCTGCAAAGATCGTAAATTGCTTCTTTAAATATTTCTTCTTTCTTTTTTCTGGGTTTACAGTATATTGTTGTTTACTTTTTTGTTTTTATTTCCTATCTTTATATATCTTTTTTGCTTTTCTATATGTTTTTTAAATTTTTCTGTAGTTTTAATTTTGTAAAAAAAATCTTCATTAAATTTATATTTTTATTATGCTACATATATACACATACATATTTATACACATCTCTGTGTAAATTTTACACACACACATATATATATATATTTGTATATGTATACACATACTATTATTCAAGCTTAACTGAGCTGTCAGCAGCATCTAGGTAACCTTGTCTGAGCTGGGAGGGCAAGCTCGGAAGGTAAAGTAGGGACTGGTTAGAACTTAGATGGGAATATAAGGTTGGAACCTGGACTGGACAGTTAAAGAGTGTCATTAGAACAGATGCCACATTTAGTTGTGAAGGTGACACAAGCTATGTCTTAAAAAGAATCACTTTCAAGATCCCCCTAAATATTGGTTTGGGCCCCACGGAGAACATGCAACAGAAAACTGGCCCTCCTTCCAATACTATAATGCAAGTGTAGATGAGGTCATATTCTCGTCTCCAGATCCCCATGACTAGAGATTATTTATTATATTTATTTGCCACCAACTCCCAGTAATTCACTCATATTGGTATATGTTTTATTCTAAATGTAAACAACCAACTTCTTACCGAAATCCAAATTTATCCATAGATACAGAGAGGTGCCTGGGCTGGTCGTAACACTTGTAGATATTCCTGTCATCCATCGGGATTAGGTCAACATCACTAAATACAAAGCAGTCATAATCATATTCTTTCAAAGCTTCTGTGAAGCCTACATTCAGAAGCTTTGCACGATTAAATGTTTCTTCTCCATCCTAATGTAAGAAAAGGAAGAATTGTTATGAGCCTTCAAAAGACTGGTTAATACTTCCTATTTGTTACCACCCAGGGCCTTCATCAGAGGCAACATATACAACACCCACCACATACTCACATAAGCCTACTATTTGCCAGTTTTCTGTCCAGTTTGGCTTATATTTAAGACCAACCACAAAGTTTACACGAAAGAAATGTGCTCCTTTGGCCTTTCACTGAACTTCCCTTCAAACCATGGGAAGAAGGAAAGCAGACACAGCACAGAATTTCACTTTGCTCTGCGTCAGCCTTCCCAAATCTGGAGTTTTCTCAGTGCTGCTGCTGAGATGGCCCTCCAGACTGCAGTTCATGATGCTGGAGGATGCTGCTCATTTTCACATTAAGATTGTGTACAGTCTCGGGTAAAGACCTGTCTCTTCCACCCATTCAGTTACCTGAATGTTGTCAATACATATACAGTAGTTCAGATGTTGTCCAATGAGGAACAATGCCTGCAAGCCTCATTTAAAGAGGGAGGAAAGGAAAATCAGCTTTCCAATAAAAAATTATTGAGATCATATTTTAATGTTTACGTTTACTTTAGTAAAAGAACCTGGCATCTTACAAACAGCTAGCTCATATTTATTATAGTGGGAAGCAAAACAAAAGATTCTCTATACATCAATTGTGTTTGTTCCCAATTTCTTTTTCCATTCTTCCTCCTCTATGTTTTCTTAACCAACGAAGAAACCCAGTCATCAGGTTTTCTTTTAAGGATTTAGGGCATTATTGTCCTGCTTGTTCCACAGAACCATTCTTTGGCCACACCTGGAGGGTGTGATAAGAAGCAGAGTAGAGCCAGAACAGGATTTGGCAATCTTCAGTAGAAAAAAAGAGTACTAAAGACAAGTAGAAATTTTCGAGATACTTATTAATAACTCCACACCCCAGATTAGTCTCCAGCACAACTAAAAGAGATATCTAACAAAACTCTTTGCTTTGTTCTTGTAGTTGTTTTCACTGATTGATTGTGCCATCAAAACAGTGTCAACTCTTAGCAAGTGCGTATTTTTCTCTCCATGAGATTACTAAAAATAAAATGTACATTTTGGGAGTTTCTAAATGACAATCCAGTTCTACATTTGTTGAACTTGAAATGTAATGGAAATGTTTATGACCTCGGCAAATATTACACAGCCAAACGCAGCAATGAAAATACCCTTTAAGTGAAATGACCATCCTCTCCTTCCAATTAACTCTCTTCAGAGAAACTAGTTAACCATATGATCGTGTCACTGTTTATTGTGGATCAGTAAATAAGCAAAATACTAAGAGTGGGGCAGAATTAGGATGTCACTTTCACAAGAACCTCTTAAATATGAATTTCAAAGCAGCAGAATTATTAGAGGTATGTTTTGTAAATGGAGACATGTTTCCATTTCTGTTTCTGTAGATTCGGCAAAGACAAACCATAACAACATCCCAGAGTGGATAAAATGTTGAACTGGAAAATCAGTTACATAGTGGAAGAATTATTTATTTCTAACACAAATTATTTAAGATGGATACCATAGAGGTCTTTAAAATGGATTGAGAGAGTTTTTATAGTTTCGAGTGACAAGTTATAGCTATTCTTGTTATATTTCCCTATACAAAGTCACTGCAGCAAAACACATGCAGTTAGTTCTAGCCATTATCTCTGGTAAATCAACTATTATTTTTTAAAAACCAGATTTGTGTGTGGATTACCAGTTTACAATTTTATGTCAAGCAGAGAGCTAATCAATACCAAATATACAACTGCATATTACTTTTTTTAAAAAAAGACAACTCATAATAGCATTCAAGTTTAGTTAATATATTTTAGCTTGAAAACGCCCTATTGAAAGAGAGGATTCTCATTTAGCTTTTTTTTCTTCTCCAGAAAAAGGTTAGAATTACTTTAATTCTTATTTTAGCCTTAGTACAATAGCCCTGCAAAACAGAAAAGCTGTTAGGTTAGAAGGGTGCGTATAGTTTTACCTATTATAAAAATTGGCTAAATTGTGGGAAAAGGCTGATTATCTATCTGTTTATACGGTATTTCTAAAGTATTGTGGGATAAATCTTATTCTACATTGAAAACTGAGAGACTGCTTCATCTTCCTCTCCTAAATGGTGAGGTAATAGCTGCTAAAACAAGTGTTAACTAAATGATGCAGCTGACATTTATAGAGATTCTCAATCATCCAGGTCATGGTTATCCCAAAGATGCTTTTCCAAAAGGCAACTGGACTTTATTGGGGGATTCTCATCCAAGCAGCTTCTTCAGCAGAATTGATCATAAGCTGCATCCCAACAGGATGTATCTTGCAATGAATTTATTCAGCATACATTGGAGACACACTGCCAAAGCAGTAGCAGCCTGGTATAGAAATAAAGCAATATGAAAGCTTCCCATCATTGAAAGCAGCAGCCTGCGCAAGAGACTGCAAGGGGAAAATTCAACACAGTTGTAGAGCCCTTTCTGTATTGTACCATCTGTAAATGGTGTTGCAAAATGAAAATATGCATTTCTTTGGAAACTGTCACATGTTCTTTGCATTTTCTAGTTCAATCAACAAATGAAACTGCCTCCTAGAATAGGATAGGATAGGATAGGATAGGATAGGATAGGATAGGATAGGATAGAATAGAATAGAACAGAACAGAATAGAATAGAATTCTTTTATTGGCCAAGTGTGATTGGACACGCAAGGAATTTGTCTCGGTGTAAATGCTCTCAGTATACATACATAAAAGAAAAGGTACATTCGTCAAGAGTCAAGAATCATAAGGTACAACACTTAATGATAGTCATAGGGTACAGTAAGCAATCAAATCATACTAGGAAACAGTCAATATAAATTGTAAGGATACAAGCAACAAAGTTACAGTCACAGTCATACAGTCACAAGTGGGAGGGAATGGGTGATAAGGAGTGATGAGAAGATTAATAGTAATAGTAGTGCAGTCTTTGTAAGTTGGACAGTATTGAGGGAATTATTTGTTTAGCAGAATGATGGCACTTGGGGAAAATCTGTCCTTGTGTCTAGTTGTTCTGGTGTGCAGTGCTCTATAGCATCATTTTGAGGGTAGGAGTTGAAACAGTTTATGTCCGGGATGTGAGGAGTCTCTAAATATTTTCACAGCCCTCTTTTTGACTCATGCAGTATACAGGTCCTCAATGGAAGGCAGGTTGGTACTCATTGTTTTTTCTGCAGTCCTAATTATCCTCTGAAGTCTGTGTCTGTCTTGTTGGGTTGCAGAACCAAACCAGACAGTTATAGAGGTGCAGATGACAAGACTCAATAATTCTTCTGTAGAATTGAATCAGCAGCTCCTTGGACAGTTTGAGTTTTCTGAGTTGGTGCAGAAAGAATATTCTTTGTTGTGCTTTTTTTATGACGTTTTTGATGTTAGGTGTCCCATTTTAGGTCTTGTGATATGATAGAACTGAGAAATTTGAAGGTCTCTACTGTTGATACTGTGTTGTCTAGTATTGCAAGAGGTGGTAGTATGGGAGGGTTTCTTCTAAAGTCTACCACCATTTCTATGGTTTTGAGTGTGTTCAGTTCCAGATTGTTCCGGTTACACCACGAGGCAAATTGTATAACCTCCTGTCTGTATGCAGATTCATCATTTTCTCGAATGACACCAATTACTGTTGTATCATCTGCAAACTTCAGTATTTTAACAGATGGATCGGTTGAGATGCAGTCATTGGTATATAGGGAGAAGAGAAGTGGAGATAGCACATAGCCGAGGAGGGGGGGCTGTGCTAATTGTACAGGTATCAGAAGTAGAGATGAGGGAAGAATTTTCTTTGGCACAAAGTACTTTGACAGAACAAGACACCTGCCAGATTCTAGCACTGGCAGCTTCAACTTTTCCAAAAAAGTGTCAGTGGAGCAAGTCATGGCCAAAAGAATCTGACCTGGAGTAGATGACCTTCTGGCTTTCTCACAGTTTAGCTAAGCAAACAAGAAGATATGCTGGATGGTCTCAGGTCAAATCTTCTCAACCACAAAATCATTCCACAGAAGCCACCGTTTCAGTCTTAGCTGACTATCAGATCCAAGCTAATATACATGAGCCACTTTGTTCAATACATCTCAAATCCCCCATTATAATTTCTTCTCATTACTCCTGGCTCTGTCTCAACATTTCCTTTTTAGGAAAATGTAAATACAACCAGCCAAGTTTGCCAAGAGAATGGCATGTTTTCTTGAATGGCTGATCTCCTCTTTAAATTAATCATGTTCGCTTCAGCTTCCTCTCAGGGGAATAAACAAAGGCAAAAAAAATGCAGGAAGGAACCACAAACCAAACTACATTTTGACAAAGATAATGATCTAAAAAATATCTCAAATAACGTCTTCAGCTTCATGCTCACATTTATGAAAAAATATCCATTCAACTATAGTAAGCATTCACTTTCTCTGCCTTCCATGTTTGAATATGGAGACTTAAACTCTGAACTTCTGTCTCATTTATTCAAACCCAACCAACACAATGGTGATATTAAATGCCTCTCAAGCTTGAGAAGCTTGAAGACTGAAGACATTTATAGAATTATTATGCTGTATGTCTAGAAGTTACCGAAATATCAACAAAAAAGGCCTTACTTCATCTTACTTTCTTAATTAGAAAACTTCCCATTCATTTAGTTAGCTGCTTAGACAACTGGATTAGTCTTCTCATGTGTTATTCTTCTCATTTTCAGCAAAGCTCCAAAGCCTGCAGCAGAATCCACAGCTGATTTACATAGAAGCACCTCATTCTGCATTTAATGAGGATAACTTTCTACATCTTCCGATTGACAACAATCTTATCCAATTATTACACTGGAGGATGTGAAACCAGCAATCCACCTAGGCTAACATGTAATTTCATTTCCCTTCAGGAAACATTGGCATTTGTGAAATGAACTATTGGTTGAAGGACTCATACAAAAAGCTTGACTAACAACAATATATCAAACCAGTGTGAGCAAAACAAT